GATTAGATTCACACCGCAGCGAAGTGACTGCTGCTGCTTTTAATGAGCCAGCGATAACAGTGGGATTGCGACTACAAACTAATTATGGATGCAAGTCATTTAAAACAGAAAGAAAGAGCGAGTGAGATGAGAAGGAAGGGCGGACAAGGCAGAAGAAGAATCCATGGATAAAAATGAAGCCTGACACATTATTATTCAAATCACCTGTAGAGAGAGAGAGAGAGAGAGTTAGAGACAGACGGAGAGAGGGAAACTTCAGAGGCGAGGAAGAGCAGTGGAGAAATTAAATCCTCCACTTCAAATGAGCGTGTAAATGAACCACACACAGCTTTGCATGATAGAAAATAGACCCACTGGGCTTACACACACACACACACATCTCTGTACGTCCAATGGCAATGTAGCAAGAGGAAAGGAAAAAGTGCTTTAGCCTACAAATTCTAACTTACCCACAACCACAAGTCAACAATCATCTCCCTTAGATACCTAAAATACATATTTTAGGAGAAGTACTGCATCTGAGGTGAAGTTGGTGCTTTAATGGTCTGCAATTTAAGTCACAGACCTGCAAAACCACACTTAATTGCTTTCATGGATGAAAGCAATGAAGATTCTTTCTAACACTTTCCAGTCATTGCCTTCACAACCAAATAATGCTGGGGAAGCTATGAAATGGCAACTTGGCAAAGTAAAGTGTCTTAACTACAGTCATATCATAACTTGTTGAAACTATAATTATAAAAAAAAACAATGGCGAAGAGTAGCATTCAACAAAATATTATGCTGTACACTTATTGTATCAAAATTAATGTTATTTTTCATAAAAGATGTAAATCGCTCGTTTTGAATCAAATGATTTATATGAACCAACAATGAACAAATCGATTCACTAAAATGAATCAGACTTCCCAAAACTTCATATGTGAGAGATTTATCATTTTAGTACATATATATTTAGTATATATATATATTTATACTTGTAAATAATTTATATTATAAATATACATATTTTATATATAAATCTAGCATATTTTTCCTTAATATATACATGTATGTGTGTGTCTTTATATATACATAATAAATATACACAGTACACACACATATAGTATGTAAAAAAACTTTTATTTTGAATGGGATTAATCGCGATTAATTGTTTTGCAGCCCTAGTTTCCTTGACTGTTAAGTTGCTATTCATCATGCAATCCACCTCGGAAGTAAGCCGTTTTCTGAGAATGTGCGAGATGTCCGGTTCATTAGCCGGGGTAGGGTAATAACGAGAAGAATAACAAAGTGCAGTAAATGGTGACACACCAGTTTGCAATATCAAGCAGCAAAACGAGCAGTTTTATACAGCTAAAATAGCTGGAAGCGAATGACAATGGTAACTAGACCCATAAAATTTACAAATGGCCTCACTCGCTCTTACAGGAAAAATAAGGTGGATATAATACGTCAAAAAACAGCAACTAAGATTTTGTCATGCGACATGCTAATGGTTAAAAAAAGTGGCCCAATAATTCACCATATATTTCAGTATTGAAGTAGGCCATTTTCTGTAAATGTGCGATACAATTAATTTGCCACCATAGGTAATTAACTAGAAGAATTAGAAGTGCAGTAAATGGTAAAACTATTTGTTATTGTCTTCCGCCAAAATAGTTTTCCGCCATTTTGGAGAGTTAGGTATGTAATCAGCGTTGTTTACGTTCAGCATGCATGCGCTGTCTACTGAACTACTAAAATTACGGTTGAACCCCTGATGTCACATGGACTATTTTACCGATGTCCTTGCTACGTTTCTGTGCGTTGATCGTGGTAAGACCCTTGCTGTCTATGGAGGGTCAGAGAGCTCTCGGATTTCATCAAAAATATCTTAATTTGTGTTCCGAAGATGAACGAAGGTCTAACAAGTTTGGAACGACACAAGGGTGAGTAATTAATGACAGAATTTTCATTTTTGGTTGAACTATCCCTTTAAAAACAAGGTGGATAAAGCTACGGCTGGACAAACGTGTACAAATACTGTTATGCTAAGTACTGAAAACGTAGCTACTGTAAATTACTTTTCCAAATTTTCATTAGCGCAACTATGTTTTGCTACTTGCTATTCCTGATCAGTTTAAGGGTGCTGTCATTCTAGAAAGCATTTAATTGGACAAAAATGTAAGACTGTGTCTTTATATATCTTCAGTCTAGAAGAGAAACATTATCATTTCCAAATGCTTCAAAGTTAAAAGTTTATTTTGCCAACTTTTAGCAGTGCACTAGCATACAGATGTCCTCAAAATGAACAGGCACGAAAGCCACCAAACGGACATTTTGATTTCATGCACTCTTTAAATCTCCTGCGCTGTGAAGCAACCTCAGAGCAATAAAACTTCCCTCGGTGTACGGTGTACCTATTACTTTATTTGTACAGAGCATACATATAGAGTGTGCTCGAGGTCACCCGAGCACATAAAATACAAAAAGACAAACCGCCTGTTCTCGATGAGTGATGATGCTCAAAGGTCAGTGGAAAAGAAAAGCAAACAAGAACTGAAAGTAAAGGATAAAAAGTTGACCAATTCTCTGCAATCTAATCCTTCTTATCCATGAGGTACATTCCTCCAGGGAATGTTCAGCGGTGGTAAACGAAAGAGCGGTATTCCCTACTTTTTTGGAAGAGGGGAAAACATTAATAGTCAGCGGAGGGCCGGTGTTTGACCCGTACAAACATGGCAGTGGCTTATCTCATCCCCTGGACTTCACTCTGGTCCTCTCCTACTTAGTGAGGCTGTTAAAGCCTATTCTGCCGAGAGCAAATAATTGCTGTGTATATGCACTCTGAACAATATTTTGAAACTGAAGTGAATTTGTACGGACCTATTCAATTCAGGAACAAAATTCCAAAGAAGTAAGAATTCCAAAAGAAAACAGCACACCTATCACTGCTAACAGTATCTATACAACACTGGAATGCACTTTCTTTACCTGGCAAACTCGAATCTGATTGTTTATCAGATTTATCTGGCAAACTCTAATCTTTGCTGCTACTGGCATCTTCCAAGAGTGTTATACACACACATTCAGATTTCCCACACAAACACACAACCGAGGCTTCATTGGAAAAAAATGTGCCTGGGGTGATATTTCTGAAAAATAATACTAGGTTGCTTCTTGCATGTTTCATGACACTTTCAAAGTGAAATTTCCAGTGAGTGGTGCCAAAAGTGCTTTCTCTCTGATAAATCTGGCAATTTTATTATGCTGGTTGTTGCATGCATCACGGCAGTTTTTAAATGAAATGTCCAGTGCCACTAAAAATGTAATGCTCTATCACGTTTGAATATAAAGTACCACCTACAATAAACCTGACCCTAAACCTAACTGATAAAACTGATGAAACAGCAAACTTAAGATAAAAACACATTTGCTGTTGCAAACATGGCATTTTAGCTTGCTTCTTCAAGTCTTTCAGCTGTTTTATTATAGCTCGTGTTTCACAGGACTCGCAAAGCACTCAACATCTCAAGGGCAATGCTGTATCAGGTTAGTCTCAGCATCAGACGTCACGCCCACGGACCGTTAGCTAAACGTCTGATGCATATGGGACACAAAGGTGGAAACACTTCAGGAGTGTCGAAGTCGTCATCGGATTGGTTGAATTCTACAGGATTTCCGGGAGACGTGTGTGTCGCGTTCTTTAACGTTCCACCTGGAAACAAAGATGCCGTGACGCCAAACCCCCTCACGAAAGAAGAAAGCCGTCGTGTTTACAACTGTGACAACGAGTGCTTATCAGGATCAACTAAACGCTGGAGTTTCAAAAGTATGTGAAATATTTAAAGTTTGCGGCATAGAATCTTTAAAATACGTCCGAGACTGGTCTGTTATTGTGGTGACATTTCCACGTCCCGAAACGTGACGATGAACGAAACGAACTGTGATTGGTTGTTTGACATGTCGGTAAAACAGCCTCATGGGCGGGCCTTGGCCAATGAAAGCTGCCATGGATTCCAGACCTTCAGCTGTCAGTCTGAAGGTCTGGCTACGTGAGACTAGTATCAGGTGCAGCACAGAGCAAGTTTACTATGTCAGAAAAGCCATACATATGGAGCTGGTTATACGATGCAAACATAAAAAATATTAGTTTGCCAATCGTAAAAGTGTTTTGAGGACATAGCATAGTACAAGTATGCCGCACATGTCTTGAAAAGTGAAGCCAGAATATTTCGATCGCCCCCAGGTGACTGGATGCAGTATAGGTCACCCTGCTCTCTCCATGTAATCTATTACTGCCACTAGTGTTCATTTCAGATTAAAACAATAGCAAATTAGATGTATAGGTGTGTTTTTGGAGTTTTAACAAAATGCAAGTAAACGCATTTTTTCAATGTGTGCGCGATTTTTTGCGCAGCTCGTCAGTGAACAACGGCTCTGTGTAGTTAATGCTGCTCAATGTGACTTTCACCCGCAGGTGATGGAGATTTACCGCTGATTACAGAACCGGCTTTCTGACAAGATGCGCATTAAATATCGCATGCGATTTATCGTGCAGCCCTAGTGTATTTGTAGCTAAAAAGTGCTTACAACTCAAAATCCACTTAAACTTTTAGGCACACTTACAAAAACACCATTTTACAAACTGAGTTGCGTAATACAGCGTTTCTCACAAAATGTATGAGAGTAGTGTGCTCCCCCTCACATGGATCAAAAAATGGGTTTTACATCCATATTTCATATTCTTCAACATTGATAATTCATATGGATTAGATATATTCTCACAAAACAAAGCTAGAAGGACAGAGAGCCATCATCTCCTGAATGTTTATGTAAGACTACAGTCAGACAGACATTTCTTTAATAAAACTGATAGTGTCTGTTTTGAACACATAAACAGGGGAAGGAATGTGTTGCACACTTTTTGACCTGAGCAGATAGACATCAGCCCTCCACACCAGCAGAACTACTGCCAACCAGACAGACGGGCACGATAGGAGATAAGAGAAGATACTCACAGCTGTCCTCCTCCTCTGTAATGACACTGATGACGTAGCAGGCGTAGATGAAACCCAGCAGCTGAGGATACAAACACAAACACGTCAGTGTATCGACAGAGACTGACAGCACAAAGAGCGTAAAAGACAGACAGGCTGACATCAGACTCGGTCAGATCTTCTGAACCGTCTTTTCACCTTTCACTTTCGTCTTCACCTTACGTCAGTACATCATTATTCTGTGATTGTGATTGCCTGGACAAAAAATATCCTGTGATTCTAGGGTGATGTGGGTGGTCGCCAGGGTGTTGCCATGCAGTTGCTATGGTGTTCCGAGCACTTATCACGTTGGTATTTCATTTACTTCATGTTTTGGGTGGTTGCTTGGACATTATTAGGTTGCTAGGATGTTGCTATGCAGTTGGTAGGCATTCTGAGTCGTCTAAGTGGTTACTAGGGTATTTTGAGTAATTGCTAAGGCATTTCTCTGTCGTTGCTAATGCTAAGTGTCCTGAGTCGATTTCAGCATTCATTCATATGGTTGCGAAGGTAATCTAAGTGATTGTTAAAGCATTGCTATGTGGTTGCTAGGTGTCATGAGTGTTTTAGCATGCTTCTGTATGGTTGCTAAGGTAGTCTGGGTGATTGCTAGGGGGTTGATATAAAGTTGGTAGGTGTTCTGAGTGATTATGACATTGCTATGGAGTTGGTAGGTGTTTTGAGTGATTACTAGGGTTTTGCTATGGAGTTGCTAGGTGTGCTAGGGCGTTGCTATGGAGTTGTTAGGTGTTCTGAGAGATTGCTAGGGTGTTGCTATGGAGTTGCTTGGTGTTCTGGGTGTTTTTAGTTTGCTGCTTTACGGAGTTGCTAGATGTTGTCAGTGATTGTTAGGGTGTTGCTATGGAGTTGCAAGGTGTTCTGAGTGATTGCTAGGGCGTTGCTATGGCGTTGCTAGGTGTTATGAGTGATTGCTAGGGCATTTCTATGGAGTTGCTAGGTGCTCTGGGTGTTTTAAGTGTGCTGCTTTATGGAGTTGCTAGGTGCTCTGGGTGTTTTAAGTGTGCTGCTTTATGGAGTTGCTAGGTGTTGTCAGTGATTGATAGGGCGTTGTTATGGAGTTGCTAGGTGTTCTGAGTGATTACTAGGGCGCTGCTATGGAGTTGCTAGGCGTTCTGAGTGATTGTTAGGGTGTTACTATGTAGTTGCTAGGTGCTCTGGGTGTTTTTAGAGTGCTAATTTATGGAGCTGCTAAGTGTTGTCAGTGATTGCTAGGGCGTTGCTATGGAGTTGCTAGGTGTTCTGGGTGTTTTAGTGTGCTGCTTTATGGAGTTGCTAGGTGTTGTAAGTGATTCCTAGGGCGTTGCTATGGAGTTGCTAGGTGTTTTGAGTGATTGTTAGGATGCTGCTATGGAGTTGCTGGGTGTTTTGAGCGATTTCTAAGGCGTTGCTATGGAGTTGCTAGATGTTCTGAGTGATTGCTAGGGCGTTGCTATGGAGTTGCTAGGTGTTCTGAGTATTTTTAAAATGCTGTTATATGGTTGCTAAGGCACTCTTATGTGGATGCTAGGGTGCAGTGAGTGGTCACTAGGGTGTTGTTATGTGTTCTGGGTGTCTGCTTTATGGTTGCTAGGGTATTCTGGGTAATTACTAGAGCGTTGCTTACTGGCCCAAGTCCAAAGACCCAAACCCTATGAAGGAGATCATGTTTCTAAAGGTTTACTGTATATTGTCCAACAAGTTAAGAATTGATTGTGATGTTCTTTATTTGTTATTTTCAATAAAAACATCCACTAAATGAATAAATGTAAATGTATATGCAAATGAAAATGATTTGATGCATCATTCATGTGTGGGATTAGTTACTCACCAAAGTTTAATACTCAGCACTAGGGGTTTGTTGAAATCCCTAACCATAAGTGTGTGCAACAGGAATGGCAGGTACATCTAATAAACCATTCATTATGAGAAACACATGGCCGATAATACATTACTCAAAGAGACGTTAGAGAGAGTTTAACAAAGTCCTGTGCCAAGTGAACAGGGGACGGGTGTGTGTGTGTGTGTGTGGATGACAGGCATATTGACGGGTATGGCAGTGCCACAGAGGCAGATGGCACAGCTCTGCTTGAAAACACACACAGGGCAAACTCAAGTCCCAGAGAGTGGCACTATTCCAAACCAATTAATCTGTTATTGGGCAGACTGCCCGCATACACCTACCCCGAGAAAAAAAAAACGAATGCTGTGTGTTTGCATATGAACTAGAGAGAGAGAGAGAGAGAGGGAGAGAGAGAAATAGATACTGAAAAAAACTTATATGCCTAAATGAGAGTCTATGAGGCCCGTGAGAGGCTGTGATCGAGCGGCTGAACGCCACAGCGCAGGTGAGACACACAATTGCTGT